TTTTGTGGTCACATCTTTAGTTGGCAGCCTGGCCTCGAGGGCAGACCATGATGTTGGAAATAGGCTGGTGGCAGCCTTCCATGCTTTCTCCAAATGGGTCATAATTTAGATGTCAGTTCAAACTGAGAAAAAAGTAACGAACACAAGTTTGCTGACAGGACACATCCTGTTATTTAGTTGTCCTTTTCTGCTGGGAATTCAGGCCAACATATTTGAGACAGCAGTTTTTCAGGCTTGGGACAAAGCATCAAATTAGATAGCCATCACCAGGAATTTTTCCAACTTGGTGATTCTCATTTGCTCCTCTCTTCAGGCTAGAAGTTATTTCCTGTTTCAAAAGCCTCGCTTACTTTTTAAAAAGTAGACACAGCTACTGAATAGTCTGCAAGGAATGCATATTGTATGTCCTGGAGGAAAGGTGTGTGTGTGTGTGTGTGTGTGTGTGTGTGTGTGTGTAACCTTATTGGCAATTTTCAACTAACCTTGTGCACTGGGCTGTTACCTACCACCCATCTTTGATGACATTCTAATCCTGATGGAGCTTCATAATCAATATTATGCAAAGCCAGGCCTTTATGGGCCTCTTTGCTGCTGGGGATTGAACCTAGGCCCTTTGAACTGGGCTACATTGCTCAGCATCCCCGCTCCTTTAAATTTTATATATGGGGACAGAGTCTCACTAAGTGCCCCAGGCTGGGCTTAAACTTGGGATTCTCCTGCCTCAGCCTTCAGGAGTGCTGGAATCATAGGTGTGCACATCATGCCTGCCACCCTGTGTCCTCTTGCACCACCAAAGTTGTTAGGGTTAGCAGTGGGCAGTAGACCATCTCTGACTTGCGGCTGCTGCGTGCCAGTTACACTCAGGGCCATGTGCACCTTCTAGGAGGCTGCTTTCACACTGGATAGGGAAATGTGGTTTTCTCTTCTCCAGAATCTGTGGTAGCTAAATGGAGATGTCTGAGGCCCTGTCTCCCAGCTTATGGTTAGAACTATCTGGGGACAGCCAGAACTTCCAGATTCCCATTGTTAAGAGAAAGAGGCTTTCATTATAAAATTAGTAAATATTTGTTGACTATTTATTCATCATGTGCCAGGTGTTGGACAGTCATCTCATCTCTTCTTTACCTCAGCCCATGAGTTCTACCCACATTTTACAGATATGAAAACTGAGACTCAAAAAGAATTAAGAAACATGCTAGGCATGGTGCCTGTAATCCCAGCACTCTAGGAGGCTGAGGCAGGAGGATTGCAGGTTGAAGCCCAACCTGGACAACTTAGTGAGACCCTGTCTAAAATAAAAAGGGCTGGGAATATATCTCAGTGCAAAGGTCTGAGTTCAGTGCCCAGTATGACAGGGGAAGGGACAGAGATACTGCTATAAATTTACATAGCTAGTCAGTGGTCAGCCTGGAACTGCAGTGCAGGCCCATGACCTCAAAGCCTAGTTCCTACTGAGTTTACTGTCTTCTCAGGCCTTTTCCCTCAGAGACCTCAGGACCAGGTGCCCAGCCCCTATCCTATTTGCTTTTTCCTGACTTGTGTTAAGGTAAAGTGTTTTAAGGCAAAGAAGAAGGTGTGAGTTTTTAAGCTGAGGCCAGTTGCCTGTACTCCGTCTTCCACTTGAAATCCACAGGTGTCCTTTGTGGTGGAGGATCACGTATGGCATGCCCAGGAGACCTTCGGGTCAGTTGAAATAGGTCCTCCCTGGGCTGTGAAGGCAGTGAGTTTTGAGTCGTAGCAGGCATATAGCCCTTAGGGTGATGGTGTTTCTGTTAAGTGTACGTGATGCTCAGAAATTAAAAACTTGAATTCCCTTGTAATTTCTGGAAGGTAAGTTCAAGATCATTTCATAGGGGTAAGGGCTATGGCTCAAAAGAGGCAAGTTATCCAAAATTCTGTAGCAAGAGTGGAACTCCCAGTTCAGTTATCTATCTTTCATACATTCATTATTTATTAGGTTGGCTGGTTGGCTGGTTTTCTGAGACAGGGTCTCGCTATGCAGTTCAGGTTGCCCTTGAACTCATTATGTAGCCCAGGCTGGCCTCAAACTTGTGGCTCTTCTCCTGCCTCAGCCTCCCAAGTGCTGGGATTACAGGCCTGTGCCACCATGCCTGGCTATCAGTTATCTTTCTATCAGGCCCTTCCCAGGATACTGAGGGTCATAGGTAGGAGGTGTATGAATTCCATACAGGGCATATGTCTTGTAGGTGATTTTCCGACTTTGAAGCTACCTTAAGCTGAGGTGGTGAACGTGGCTCTAGGGAGCCCGACAGCTGATGAAAGTGTGCTTGTGCTGGGGGATAGATTGTTACCGGACAGACTGGGAAGCAGTCTTTACCTGGCAGGGGCCATGGAGTTGCCAGAAAGCCTGGTACTAAGGCTGCAAGTTATGGTAAAGCCTAAGGCCTTTAGGGACAGGGGCTCTGGGAGATTGCACTGGGCTTAATTGCTGCCCTTGCCACCTCTGAGGCCAGTGCTAAGGCTCAGAAGGGACAGGTTCCTAGTCTTAAACTAAAGGAAGTGAAGTCTCAGACCAGGCAAGTACGCTTAGTGGGCTGAGGCCCAGACCTGCCTTAGAATGTTTCCTCGGGAGTATAAGAGGAATGAAGAAGGGCAGGAGATGGTAGAAGCAGGATGAATTGACAGCAGTGCCCTGGATGGAAGAGAAAGGAAGGCAACCCACAAGGAAGGGCCAGAGACAGAGGTGGCAGGAGGCAATGTCCAGACAAGAGGGCTGACGCCAGGCATGGTGGCACACACTTAGAATCCCAGCAGTTCCAAAGGCTGAGGCAGGAGGGTCACAGATCCCATCCCAGCCTGGGCAACTTAGTGATGTAGTGAGATTCTGTCTCAAAAAGTAAAAAAGGTCTGGGATATAACTCAGTGCAGAGCTCTAGGTTCAGTCCCTAGTGTCTCTAACAATAATGATGATGACAGTGTTAGTAAGAGCTGAGATTGTACCCTAAGTACATGATCCAGCCAAGCTACTCATTTCTTTCCAAGGAGCTGGTGGCTCGGGAGCTTCTCTGCTTTCACTTACCTATAACGAACTGACCAGGCTATACTGGCAAAGCCAGCTTTACTGGGAAAGGAGAAATAGCTGCTCTAAGCAAGACCTTAACCTTCCATTCTGCCCTGGCAAGGGGAGAATCCCCAGGAGATGCCTGAGGCTACCGCATGTAGCCTAGAGAGCTTTCTTTGCGGCCTCTGACATTCCTCAGGGAAGGCTCTGCCCAGGGGTGGGTCATGGGCATTGCTGAGGCCACCAGATTTCAGGGTTCGGAAAGCATTTATTACTTTATTTTGCCTGGAGCCTGGAGGCTGATTCTGTTGTGGAGGAATTGTGCCTTTTTCTAGCCTTGAGCCATTCACTTCTGAGCAAAGACCTTGACTGTAGCAATTCCAGCCACATGTGTAGCCCATGTGCATGAAAAAACTGGATCACTTTGTAGGTAACAAATAGAACTAGAGGCAGAGGAACTAGCTGGTACTGGTGTTTGTGGGGCCCAGTGAGGATCCAAAAGGAGGAAAGCTTGGCAGACCCTTGTCCTTCCTGTCCCTTCCCTCCAAACCCAAACTCAGAGCCTTTCCCATAGAATACAAGCCTTTCCTGTGGGCTCCAGCCCTTCAGTCTCTTCAGGATTTTTTGTTTTGTTTGTTTTGAGACAGGGTCTCACTGTGTAGCTCAGGCTGGCCTCGATTTTGAAGTGATCCTCCTGCCTCAGCATCCCGAGGGCTGGGATGACAGGCATGTACCACCATGTCCGGCTCTTCAGGACTTCTTGGCAGGCAGAAGTGTTTGCCCCCAAAGCAAGTCTGCTCTGGCACAAATTTGGACTGGTGACGGGGAGCAGCCCAAGGTACCTTCATGGTCCTCAGGAGCCTGCCCTGACTCTGGCTTATTCCCTTCATTCCCTGCTTCTGTCAGACCTAAGTGTCCTCATCAGCCATCGACTACTTTCTGCCATCTCCCTGAGCAGCGCACTCTCCATGATCTACTCAGATACCAAGGTGAACAGCCACCCCTCTGCTGGGTTGTTGCTCTCTGGCCAGCATGTTTCTGCTAACTTGATGGAGGGCCTCTCCGCAACAGTCCTTGCCTTGATTCATGGTTGTATGAGCTGAAGTCACATCAGAGCTGGCAATGATAGTCCTTTCCTTCTCCGTTTCCTCCCCCTCCTCCCTCCCATTCCCCCCTCTTTTTTGGGGGGGTGTGGGGATTGAATCCAGGGCCTTTACACTGAGCTAATCCCCAGCTCTTTTTTGGGGGGCCAGTACTGGGGATGGAATTCGGGACCTTGCTCTTTCGAGGCAGGCAGCGGAACCACTGAGCTAAATCCCCGGCCCCAGAGGAGCATTGTTGAGGAAAGACCTCTCTCTCCTCAGAACAAAAGCTTCAGCTTAGTCTTGAAAGTGTCTCTTGTACCCAGTCTTAGAAGCCCAAAAGCTTGATCCAGGCAGTGATGGGAAGGCTGAGTTGGCACTGAGAGGAAAACAAGTGCAGATGGTGCTAAGGAACATCCCAGGACTGAAAAACATGGCTCCCAGAAAGGGAGAAGCTGGGGAACGTTGGCAAAGTCTCACTCAGCAACTATGACAGACTGGCCAAAGCACGCTTCGGGGTGGGACTGAGGGTACATCCATGGTGTTAGAGACACAGGTGACCTCAGAGACTTGCTGTTCTGCCATCTGCCACACAGAGTGAGCAGTCTCAGTGGCCAGGCTGGGCTGGTCAGGAAAAACGGAGTAAAAGAGATTAAAAAGTAGCTCAGGGCCAGGGATGTGGCTCAGCGGCACAGCACCTGCCTGGCAAGTGCGAGGTCCTGAGCTCAAGTCCCAGTACCAAAAAAAAAAAAAGTGGCCCAGAAACCTGAGGAAATGCTCCCTTTGGCAGCGTTTTTTCTGGGTGATAAGTAATGAGCCCCATAGGCAGCATCATGGTGCTAAGTGACCTTCGGTTTGCATGGCCCCAGCCCCGCCTGGCTTTTGACCTTCCCTAGGTGCTAGAGGTGGTGAGAGCCAACTATGACACGCTCACGCTGAAGCTGCAGGACGGCCTGGACCAGCACGAGCGCTACTCGGAGCAGCACAAAGAGGCTGCCCTCTTCAAGGAGCTGGTGAGCTTGCCTCTGCCCGCCTCTGGGTGTTCCCTGCGGGTGGGCGTCTAGGGAATAGCTGCAGATGCCAGAGGCTGGTAAAACAAGCCCGGAAGGCTCTCCTGGAATCTAGCATGCAGCTTCTCTGCAAAGCAGTCAGGACAGGCAGGGAGGAAGGAAAGTGTTTCCAAGCAGCATCACTAGCCTTTTCTGCAGATACGAGATGGCTCTTGCACAGCTCCAGCCAGCCCTGAGTTGGACTTGTGCTCTGGACAGCAGCTCTGGCTCGTTGTTCCACATCCTGTCCTCAGCCAACAAGAGTAGTTGATTTTTTTTATGTTGTCACTTCCTGAATTCCTAACTGGCTCCTGGTCTGACGTAGTTATCCAGCCTTTACCCCATGCCCATTCCCATTTCCAGTCACTCAGCTTCCAACAATCTCTACCCTTGGCCCCTGAGTGCCAGGGAGCATTTGCTCTGCCTCCTGCTCCACCTCCTTGCCAACATCTCTGGAAAACAGCTTCTTCTACCAACTGTCCCTTTCCTGCCCTATGCCCAGAGCTGTTCTCAGGAAAACCGCTGCTTCCTGTAGTCCTGCCACCCACCTCCTTGGGGTACACAGGCCTCCTGGCTGGAAACTGAGTCCTCACACACTAGCCTCTACCCACTTCCCATGCTCTCAGCCTCCCTCTGCTGGGCTATAACTTCCATCAGTCCAGCTTCTACTTCCCACGCTGGATGTTAGGTCATCTGTCTTGTGCTAAACCACCCCCAACTTTGACCCTGATGTGACATTCCTCAGGATGTCTCTGGGGTGAGTTTGTTAGGGATGTGGCAGCCATTTGTGTAAGGACACAGAAAATGGAGTGTTTTTATGGGGTGGTTGGTGAGTCTTTATGTTGATGTAGAGGAATTACTGGGGGCCATCAGTAAACAAAGATAACTAGTTACTGGGAGAGAAGAGGGTTGTGAAAGAGGTAGAGGACCTGTGTTATGAGGCTCCTGGGCATTGGCCTCGGCCTTACTCAGTTCTGTCTGCACCCTGGCACCGGGGAGCAGAACAGATCTGTTCCAGGAGGTAGCTAATGAGCTTGAGTTGCTGCCTTTTCCTTTGCTTCCTCCCTGACCACTTAAATCCTCCCCCTTCCCAGGTTCGGTCCATTAGCACCAACGTGCGGAGGAGCCTGGCCTTCCACACACTCAGCCAGGAGGCCCTGCTAAAGGAGTTCTCCACTATCTCCTGAGTCTGCACCCTCCTGACAGCCACTGACTGCCCTTATTCATGAGGCTCCTGGGCCAGAGCGGGAGAAGGGGCTGCCTCTGAGGTCGGAGAGAAACAGACACCCAGGTCTCTTGATGAAGGCTGCACTTGAGTGGAGCTTGGACAGCAGCAGCAAGCCAGGGCATCTTATTTGGGGAGGAATGGGTGGGCAGAGGGATACATGTGTAAGAATGTGGGGGCTGCCAGGGTAGGCTCCCTGGACGCCCCCACATTTCCAGTTGAGATTGCAAGTTGTACCTTCTGGCTCGCTGTTGGGAGTTGGCGGGCTAAGCCCTAGGTGATGCTGACACCCTGAAGTCCAGTGGCTTTGCTAGGGTTCTGAACAGATCAACTGTCAGATACACCTGGAGCTTCGAGGGGCTTGAAATACATGTCCCCTGCTCCTACTGGGAATCTGTCTGGTCATCTTAGCTCACGCTCAGGGAAGGTGTCCCGTTTTCTAAATTCAGGATCGACTTCTCTAAGAAACTGGAGATTGGAATCTACCCAGAGCTCTACTGTCCAGCCACCACTTTGTAGATTTTAGTTTTGGCACCAGGAGCACCTGTTAGCTTTCTTCTGCCTTCCAACCCATGGACTCATCAGCACAAATAGGCTCACAACCTTCACTTTTAATTTTTAGTTTGCTTTAAACTGTCATTGGGTGTGTGTGAAATAAACATGGATAGGTTTTCCGAGCCCTCAAGGTGCCTCCTTGCTAGCTCCCTTTCCAGCAGCTCCCCCACCCCAGCCAGCCCTCCACAGGGAGCCCTTCCTGCCTCTGAGCTCCTCTCCCTCACCCTGCTGTTATTTACATCCAGCCACCTGAGAGTCCTCTGGGGAGGAGTCTGGTGCCTGGGAGTGACAGACCCTGCTGGCTGCTCTGTGCCCTCTATCTCAGAGGCTGAGGAGCATCGTGCCTGCCAGACTCCAGGTGGGCCACGGCAGATTTCCTGGCCTTGAGGTGACCTGTGGCTCTTTGGGTAGCCTCCAATGGGACCACCGTAGGCTCTCCCTGCTACCCCACAGCTGCCTCCCAAATAGCTGCTGTTCCAAGATCTTCCCTTTCTAAAGTACTTTGAAAGCCCTCAGGATGGTAGGCAGGAAGCAGCAAAGGAAGAATCAGAGCATGCAGGAATCCTGCTGTGAGAAGAGGCGGGACCGTCCCCAGCCGGTACCCATTTAGCCTCAAATCACTTTGGAACACTTGCCCTCCCTGGGAACCAGAGTTCTGGCTTCAGCACTGAGCAGATCTGGACTAGTTCCAGAGCATCCACCAACAGACTGCCCTGCATGCATGGAGGTTTGCAGGAGGTCATGGGCCGGGTAGCCGCTGATCACTGCTCACTAGATTAGATGGGCAGCCTTGCCTGGGGCATGGAGGGCCTTCCTGGTGATAAACTCCACAGCAGCCGGATCTGAAACTGCGGACAGGTTGAAGTTATTAAAAGTGGATTTGTGTGGGACCATCTTCTTAAGTGTTTTTCCCCCACTTAATCTCTGTTGCCCAGACTCATTTCTCAAAGACTTGGGGTGCGGGTACCCTGGCTAGGGAGCCCCTTCTGTCCTCACAGACTCCTGCTGAGTCTCCTGGCCCTGGTAGAGGCCTGTTGGGTTCAGAGTTTTGTAGTCTCCCAAGCCCTTTACAGTAGTGGTCCCCAACCTCTTTGGTGCCAGGGGCTGGTTTCATGGAAGACTCTTTCCACAGACCTGCCACAGTGAGGTTTGTGCTTCTCTGACAATCTGCTGGGGCTGTGATCTGACAGGAGGCAGAGCTCAGGTGGCACTGTAAAAGCCGATGAAGCTTCCTGGTCTGTGGCCCAGGGCTGGGGACCCCTGCAGTAAGAAAAAGAAAGAAGAGTTGCTTGTCTCCAGACGGTGGTGTTGAGGCCAGCAGTAGTGCCTTGAGCTCCTTCTGGGTTCCTGCCAGCCTCCCCCAACAAGTGACCAAGGGCAGGTTTGGACATGGACCCTCAATGGAAGACTTCTTGCCCTCGAGGCATCGTAAAGGCCGAGCTCTTGGCCGGTTTGTGATTTTGTTGTTTGCGACAAGATCTCACTAGGCCTAGGCTGGCCTTGAGCTTGGGGTGCTTGGCGTCCTGTCTCAGCCTTCTGGAGTCCCGAGGTTACAGGTGTATGCCACTCTGCCCAGCCTTCCTAACCTGTTTCTTCACGTGCACCTGTTCCAAGCGCAGGATCCCATCCTCTTCCAGAAACAGACCTCCAAAGGAGCCGTCTGCGCCCTGCCTCTGTCCAGGGCTGTAGAGGCTCCTGCAGAGCCAGAGGGGCGCGGCAAGGGATGCCCCTAGGTCCTTCCTTCACTCCAGTCTCTCTCAAGTCTCACGGAGCTCGCCCAGGTCCTGATGGGCACTGAATCCAACTGAAGAGATTAAATGTGCTGGGCTCACCCCGGAGTGTCCTCCATTCTTTAGAAAAGGAGTTAAACTTGGGGACGGTGGCTTCTCCTTCCCGCCCAGATCCCCAGATCCTTCAGTAAATCCCCACCTCTGCTGGAGAACAAGCATCTGGGACAGGGCAGGTAACAAGAGAGGGCAGAAAAGTAGAGAGGAAAAAAAGAGGGAAAGGGGGGCTCGGAAGAGCGAGGAGACCTCGAGTTGCGTCCGGTTTACCTGACCCTGCTGCCGGCCTGTTGCCTGCGGGACACAGATCGGGGAAGAGAGCGGTGGAGAGAGCGGGAGAAGGATGGCGGGGCTAGCGGCTGCGAGCCAGACTCTCCTTCTCGTCGGAAGCTGAGCGGGCGGGTGCGGACTGGGAACCCGCTGGAAGCCGGCGCCCGCACACCCCAGGCTCGGCTCAGCCGGACGGCACTGACCATGGGGAAAGGGGCGACCGAGACGGGTGGGGTTCGCGCCCCCTGGCTCCGGGTGCAGAGTGGTGCCGCAGGGGAGCCGCTCCCTCCCGCTCCTCGGGGCAGCCGGGCGGGGAGCCTCCGGGCGGCGAGAATGGGGGCGGGGTGGGGAGCCAATCCCGGCAGCGCGAAGGAGGAGGCGGCGGTGACAGCGCGGGGAGGGGGCGGGAGGAGGGAGGCCCTCGGCTCCGCTCGGCTCGGCTCGGCTCGGCTCGGCTCGGCTCGGCTCGGCTCGGCTCGGCCCGGCCCGGCCCGGCCCGGCCCGGCCCGGCTCCGCTCCGCTCCGCCCCGCCGGGGTCCCGCTCCTTCTGCCCCGGCTCCCGGCTCCTGCCCGCGACCCCAGGCCGCCTCGCCCCCGGCCCGCCCGCGCTCGCCGCCAGGGGGCGCCCTGTGAGCGCCTTGACCCGGCCCCCCGGCGCCCCCTCCCACGGGCCCAGGCGGGAGCGGGGCGCCGGGGGCCATGCGGGGCCAGGGCCGCAAGGAGAGTTTGTCCGACTCCCGAGATCTGGACGGCTCCTACGACCAGCTCACGGGTGAGTCGGCGGCGCGGGGCGTGGGGCGCGGGCGGGAGGGCAGAGTCCTTCCCCAGACCCCCCACCCGGCCCTGGCTCAGCCCCTCCCCGGCCCCTCCTCGCTGGTCCAGCAGGATCCCGACCACACCCTCGGGCTGGGGGGGCAGGTGTGGAGAGGCAGCAGGTGTGGGCGTGCTGACACGCGCTCGAGTGTGCCCGGAGTGGGTGGAGGTACGTGCGCCTGTCACTTGCGTGTGGCTGTGTGCACGTGTGGCCTCCCACGGCTGGTTGCCATGTGCCGTGCACCCGGTGACAGCCAGGGTGAGTGCGATGGCGTGTGGCAGTGCAATCGTACGATCTCAGATGTTTGAGTGAGTCTATAAAACCCCGTGTGTTCTGGTGTTTCGACCGTCTGTCTCTGTTGCGTGTGCACCTTTGTGCTGAGTGTGATTCTGTGTGAAGTGGCGTGTTAGGGCTGCTTCATGTTGTCATGTCTCCGTGAGACCCCAGGACTGCACCTCAGGCTGCGCGTTTGTTGAGGTGCTGCTGTGGGTTGCAGCGCCTGGGTGACTGGCGTCAGCGTTTGGTGCCAATTGTGCCCCGAGAGTGAGGCCTGCAGCGGGGCTCTGGGTGTCCATGCCATTTTGCATCCTTGCTGTCTCTCTGGTTTTCTGGCACAGATGGGGTCTCTAGTGTACCCTGCTGCTTCCCGAAGTTTTCTGCAAATACCCAGGTGGGCCCAGGAAGGAACTCTAGTGTTCAGCTGCCCAGACCCGCTCCCAGGAGCGCCTGTGGGCCCAGCGCCCAGCCCCTGTAGGGAGCCCTTTTCCCCAGAAAGTTACACAAATTGGCGTAACCGAAGCTCCTCCAGTCCCCGACCCCTTTTGGAGCTACACCAAACCCCGGAGAAAACACACCCCCTTGCCTGTGGTCCTCCTCACGTACCCCAAACCGCACTGCTGCTGGGCACCCCCTTGGGGTGCACGTGAGAGCGGTACAGCCATGCGCTCATCCCCGGGTCTGTGTCGGTGGCAGTCAGCTCCTGTACAGTTCCGTGTACATGTTTGTGTCTCACTGTGCGGCCCTGGCGGCGGGAGGCTCTCTCCTGAGGGTGGCAGAGCTTAGGACGTGGAGGCGGGGGGCCGCGACCTTCCTGAATGGGGTCTGGTGAAGACCTGGGGTCGGGGAAGGGACTAGGACGAGGACCAGTGGCTTCCCTACGCCCTGACCCCAAAGAGGTCTTAGTCGAAAGACCCCCAGAGGGGCCCTGCTTAAAGGGTGTGGAACAGTGCCGACGGGCGTCAGCTGGACGGACTCCAGGGCCCAGTGACCCATCCTTATGACCTTTGTCCCCACTCCCAGCTCCGGGTAGACCAGAGAGGGGGCCAGGCCTCATTGACACCACGCTCGTCAGGGTTTGCCACTTGCCCGAGCCTCCCCTTCAGTAAAACATCATCGCTTCCTGACTAGGCTCTTTGGATCAGATGCTGGGTGGGAGGGGAAGCGCTTGTCTTCACAGGTGGATTGCCTAGGGTCTGTCAGGAAAGAAGTGCGTGAACTCCATGGGTTTGCTCTCTTGCCCTCACTTTCCTCATCTGTAAAATGGCAGTACTGCTTTGCTGTCTGCCAGCCTCTCAAGGGAAATAAAAAGGCCAAGTGTTGACAAGCATCCAGAATTGCGGTTCCCGTCATCAGCATCCTGTCTGCAAACAGCTCCCAGATGATTTAAAAAGTAGAAATAGGGGCCAGGCTTTGCGGAACATGTCCGTAATCGCAGCGCTCAGAAGTCTGAAGCAGGAGGATCGCGAGTTCCAGGCCAGCCTGAGCTATATACAAGGAGATCTTGTAGGACTAACAGGGTCTGTCCACTCGAAGGAGGCCTTAAATTGGGACGCCAGTGTTGAAGAAGCCTGGCTCGGCTGAGCGCTGTGGGGAGGTCGTTGTCCTTGGTGCTGAAGCGCGGCACGCCTCCCCGCCGTCCGCTGGGCGAGAGGGGCTCCTGGGGTCAGGCAAGGGGCAGTGTCCAGCTCCCAGCACGCCGGCCCCCTGGGCTGCAGACGCGGCCTTGAAGTTACACCCAGGGGACCTTGGCTTCCTCCGACTTCCGCCGAAGCTCAAACAGCTGGGAGAATCTTTTCAGGCGGACAGAATCCGAGCCCTCTCCCACCGCCCCCCCGGCCCTTCGGGTCGCTTGGCACAGTGGGATAGGGCTGCTATTCCGAGCAAAGCAGGAAAAGGACCGAAGGAAGTGGGGAGGGGACTCAACCAGCCCGGCCTGAGCTGCTGTCCGAGACCGATCTGGGTCGAGTCCGGCCACGAGCACCGTTCCTGGGAGTGAGGCGCCCTCGTGTGGCGAAGAAGAGTCATGAGTGCATGATGCGGAGCTCATCGGTGTGGGACTGTCATTTAGTCAGGTGAGCAAGATCTGGCAGGAGTTCACAGGTGACTTGTTTTGTTTTGTTTCGTTGAGACAGGGTCTCGCTATACAGCCCAGGCTGGCCCCGAACTCAGGGCGATCCTCCTGCCTCAGCCGCCTGAGTGCTGGGATTACAGGCGTGCGCCACCACGCCGGCATCTCTTCTCTTAAATGTCAGATTTTCAACCCCTCAAAAGAATCCCAGTCGAAAGAGACCAAGACCAAGCTCTTCTCTGGTCTTCCCAGGACCTGGAAGGCGCCATCGGCCCACAGGGATGGGTCCGGAAGGGGGTGGGGCGGAGACGAGGGCAAGGGCTTCTTCCTCTTGGTGCTCGGACAGCCCCGCGCCTCGGCCCCGCCAGCACCCGGCTTCTTTCTGCTCTCTATTGGAGGTGCGGGGAGTTGCCATGACAACCGTGTCCTCGACCCCTTAGCGTCCCGTGCCAGTGCCGGGCGGGCAGCACAGAGGACAGGGGTTGGTGTCCTGCGTGCCTGGCCTCCGCCGGAACCGGACCGCGCTCCGAGGCAGGGTGGGGGAGCGGCAGACCCGGAGGCCGGAGGTGGGGGCCGGAGGTGGGGACGGGAGAAACCCCTGGCCCCGCCCCGCGTGTCCGGCGCTGGCTGGGAGGGCGGACCGAGGGCAGTGCCCCGCCGACATGAGCCGCTGCCCCCGCCGGTGCCGGAGCCCGCTGGGCCAGGCGGCGCGGTCCCTCTACCAGCTGGTGACCGGGTCGCTGTCGCCAGGTAGGAGCGCGGGAGGCCCCTCCCCTCCCCGAGTGAGCGCGGCGGGGCTGGGGGCTTTCGGGGGAAGGGAGGGCCGTTCCGAGGGTGCGAGCGCAGGAGCGGGGTCTCCAGAAGGAAGGGCAGGGTCCCCAGAGGGGAGGGCAGCGCCCCTGGGGAAGGTGGGGTGGGAAGGCTGGGGCAGGGCAGGGCACAGGATGGAGAAAGAGCTTGCAGCTGAACTGGGAAGGTGCACCCCTCAAGGGTGCTGCAGAAGTTGAGAGGGTCTCAGAGGATGGATGGCGTCCAGAGGGAAAATCCCGAGATGGGGCCCTGCTGGGTCCCCGCCTTCCTTTGGGCCTGGCACCACAGCCATGCGGCGGGGCTGCAGACCCCGGGGTTACCTAGCGTTCCATGCTTTCGCTTGGGGCTGGGCCTTCCGAGTGACAAGTTACTTGCACAGCGTTCGTGGAGCTGTACCTGGGTGTGGGATTTGAGTGTGGGTCGCAGTGTCGCGTGGTTTCACCGAGATTTGCACACATCTCCACTTGAGTTTCCTCAGGGCTGCCTGGGCAGCGCCCCCAGAGCCCAGCTCCCCTCTCCCCTGGCCTCAAGGGGACCCAGCAAGCTGACCATGACACCCTGAGATCTGCGGGTCACTGGCTCTCCAGAGCCCTGGAGGAGAAGCAAGGCCTGGGCCTACTCCTTGCCGTGTGGCCCCAGAAGGAGGGGAAATGGGGCCGAGCCAGAGCCCGGAAGTCGTTTGGGGAGCTCCAGTCCTCAAAGCCCCTGCTTGGGCTTGTCTCCATGACAGATGGCTGGAGCCAGGCAGGGCCTGCTCAGTCACTGCAGGCCTGACTTCCAGGACCCAAAATAGCCCCAGTGTCAAGGGAGGTCGTTAATCACTGATTCCACTGGGGCTGCAGTGTCTTTTGGTTTAACTGGGAGTGGGGTGAATAGGGACTCTGAGGAGGGCTTCAGGGTCTTTACTGGCCGGTGTCTCCTCACTTTTCTCTCGTTGCTGAGACAAAACACCTGACACCCAAAGGAGGAAGGTTTGTTTGGCTCACAGTTTCTAAAGGTTTCAGTGCATAATCGCCTGGCTCCAAGGCAGGGTGGCAGAGGGGCAGCAGTTCATGGTGGCAGAAGCAGCAGAAGCAACAAGGGACCTTAAGGGGTGTCTTCTGCCCTTTTATCTTATTCAGACTCCTGGGATCCGGGCAGTGCCAAACAGCTCTCTCGCTTAGTGGTTCAGTAACCACACACCCTTAACCTCAGCATCAACTCCAGATTCAGCCACTCTGGAAAAGAGCGCCCCAGCTCATCCGCATGAGGCTTGGGGGGACATCAAGACACAGCCGTAACACTGGGTACCTCGGGGGCACAAGAGCACAGGGTGGGCTCCTGCACCAGGTGGCGGCCTTCAGGTCGGAAGTGGGAGGTGAACAACCTGACAGCAGGGCCTCCTGTGCTGATGTCTGAGGGCCCTGAGGCCAAGGGCGGTGTGCAGTTCTCACTCTGCCTCAAGCTTCCTTTGGAGTCTTGCCGGGGTCAGGCCATGCCAAAGCTTCGGCCCTCAGAGGTGCTGAGCCTGGAGCCCTTCGAGACAACCCGTGGTCTCTTCTGCCAGACCCACCCACCAGAGGCCTGGCTGACAGGACCTGCAGTCCCTGTGGAGGGTCAGGTCTCGGAGAGTAACCGAGGGTCCAGGAACAGGGCAACCGGCTGACCGTTTGTTACTGTTTCTATGAACAGCAGCAGGAGCAGAGAAGTGCGTTCAAGGGTTCGTGGATCCTGGCCCTCTGGGGGCTTTATTACCCATAGTTCCCCCAACATAAACGGGGCTGTATCACCAGGATTTCTTGACACCTCACAGGCACTGGAC